CCCTCTCCCTCTCCATCCACCTCCTTCACCCTCATGCCCTACTCCAGCTCACTCCACACTTACACAATATGAACAAATACTCCTCGCGCTGTTTTTGACACAGGGCGCCGCCGAACGGATCATTCAAACTTGTTTTCTACTCCGAGCGTCCCCAGTCCTTTCATAATGGCGCTCCCGCTACAGCGTTGGCTCGGTTTTCCGGTTCCCAGCTCTTCCAGATCATTATCCCGTTGTAGCGCTGACCTCATGTCATTGTTCCGGTTCTTCCAAGTCGTGTTATCGTTGCAGCGTTGGCTTCGTTTCCGCGCTTCCAGTCCTTCCAAATCGTGCTCCCACTGCAGCAGTGGTCTCATTTCCGCGGTTGTTATGCTTCGAAATCGTGCTCCCGTTGCAGCGTTGATATCATTTAGCGCTTCCCGCTTCCTAAGCCGTCCATTGGCTTTTCCCGTCCTATGTCATTTCTGGTATCCCGCTGGCCTTGTTGTCGAGATTAGTCGCCGTGCTATGCATGGAATCGCGTACTCTCTCGGGATCATTGCCCTGTTCGACTTCCGACTGTGCAAACAGAGAGTAGATCTACGCAGTGGTAAGGGGTGGAAGGGGGGTAGGACGTCAGATATGACGACTGCGCGCCTAGCTTGCCCGTTACCCTCTCCCATCCCCCGTCCCTCCTCCCACTCGTTTTTCCTCCTCCTCCTCCTCCTCCTCCTCCTCCTCACGACTCCCATGGGACGTGCATTCCTTCTCCTTCTCCTCCTCCTCCTCCTCCTCCTCCTCCTCTTTCTCTTCCTCTTCCTCCTCCTCCTCCTCCTCCTCCTCCTCCTCCTCCTCCTCCCCCTCCTCCTCCTCCTCCTCCTCCTCCTCCTTCTCCTTCTCCCACTACCTCCCCCTCCAACCTCCTTCCCTCTCCCCCCATCCTCTCACCTCCCCCTGCACACCTCCTTCTACCATCCCCCCTGCCATGGCTTGTCCTCCTCCTCCTCCTCCTCCTCCTTGTCCTCCTCCTCTTACTCCTCCTCCTCGGCAGGGCATGTGTAACCGCGGCTGCGGGCAGAAGTCGGGGGTGGTCTGCTTGTCCGACCGCGACGAGGCCCCAGCGCTGCGGCAGGGGGAGGGAGAAGGAGGAGGAGGAGGAAGAGGAGGAGGAGGAGGAGGAGAGAAGAGGAGGAGGAGGAGGGAGGAGGAGGAGGAGCAGAAGAAGACAGGAGGAGGAGGCGCAGGCGGAGGAGGAGGAGGAGGAGGAGGAGGAGGAGGAGGAGTAAAGGAGAGGAGCAGGAGCAGAAGGAGCAGGAGGAGGAAGAGGAGGAGGAGGAGGAGGAGGAGGAGGAGGACGGAGGAAGGAGGAGGAGGAGGAGGAGGAGGAGGAGAAGGAGGAGGAGGAGCAGAAGGAGCAGGAGGAGGAGCAGGAGCAGGAGCAGGAGGAGGAGGAGGAGGAGGAGGAGGAGGAGGAGTAACAGGAGGAGGAGAAGGAGGAGGAGGAGGAGGAGCAGGAGGAGGAGAAAGAGCAGCAGGAGCAGGAGCAAGAGGAAGAATAGGAGAAGGGGGAGGAGGAGGAGGAGGAGGAGGAGGAGGAGGAGGAGGAGGACGGCGGGAGGAGGAGCAGGAGCAGGAGGAAGAATAGGAGGAGGATGAGGAGGAGGAAGACTCCGTATCCAGTTTGGCTAAGAGTGAGGCCTTTTTGGCGTGGGGGATGCGCGCCCCTGCTAGTGATCGTGCGGGAAGGTCCTGGCCCCAGATACCTTTGTGATCTCCTGCAGGAGCGCTGCATACGCAAATTCCTTCGTACACAACCTCACACATTCCTTTCGATGGGCTCTTCTCGTCGCGGCCAGCCTGGCACGCGCGATGAAAAGGGGGGCCCTCGGCAGTGGACTTGGGTGGGGAACCACAAGACGAGTGGGGGCGCTGAGCTGTCGAAGGCTCCATGCCCGCAGTGCGCATGCAAGAAAGCATGGCCCATTTCTGGTTGTGCAAGCAGTGCCTCCAGCCCCTTGCGTACGTGCAGCCATCCGCCCCGCCCCCAGATGGAGGAACTTGGGCGACGTTCCCTGCGCTCGAGTCCTTCGCCTCCTACGGCGAGCCCGCCAAGGGAGGCAAGGGCATGGGCAAGGGCAAGAAGGGAGGAGGTGGCAAGGGCAAAGGTCTTGGAGGAGACGGGCCCAAGCATGTCTGCCCACAGGTGTCAGGCGCGCCACCGCCAGTGCTGCAACAAATGCTAACTGCGGGGGTCCAGCTCCAGGCCTCGGGCTGGCTCCAGACTGGCCCCATGGCTGCGGCCGGCAACGGGGGCTGGACGAAGTACTCTGTCGACGACATCCCCAAGCTGCAGGGCTCGCAGCGCACCTCCGAGAGCCCTGGCGACACGGAGCAGGCAAAGGTGCACGAGAGCTACATCACCAAGCTGCAGAAGGTGGTCCCTCGGCAGCCCATTGTCGGGGCGGCCCAGCACGCCATGCGCGAGGCCAAGCAGCACTGTGAGAAGCGCGTCAAGGCGGCGGAGGCGCTCCAGAGCCAGTTGGCACAGGCTCAGGAGCAGGCGATTCAGGCGATGGTCGAGTTCCATGCCTGCCAGGGTCGGTACCATGAGGCGGTCACCCCGCTGGCGGCTGAGGTGCCTTCGCAGGCTCGGCATGAGCCTGAGCCTGAGCCCCGTTACGGGCTCAGCCTCGAGAAGCTCCTGGGTGGCAAGAGTTTCTGGATCTTCGAGGACGACGGGCTCTGCGGCCGGGAGGCTAGGGGGATCGAGATCTCGTCAGCGGAGAAGGAGGAGTTCGCCAAGAGGCAGCAGGAGGTTGAGCAGACGATCAAGAAGGCGGTCGTTAACGCTTTCGGCTCGGTGCGCACGCGCGCGCAGGAGCTGGTGGCGGAGCAACGTGCCGTCCACCGGTGCATGGCGGCGAAGCGGCGCCGCGCCGACAACGAAGGAGCCGAGCAGGGGGGGCTGGCGAACCGGGTGAGCCCAAGCCTGCGACCGCAGAGAGCCGCGCCGGTGGTGATGAGCCGCCTGCGCCTCAGGCTCCAGGCCAGCAGTCGGTGGCAGCGGCTGCAGCGATGGCGAGTTCTGGTGCGGTGAAGGCCCCAGTCGACGTCGATAAGGAGGACCTCGAAAAGCGGTTTCAGCAGGCTGCCAGCAAGGCACGTGCAGGTGCTGTATCAGGGCCTCTTGAGCAGGGAGGCCACATCCTGGGCAATGACGTGCTGGACAGCGAGCGGGGCTATTTCGTCTTGGCCGCTCGACTCACCCGCTTAAAGGCCTTCGAGACACCCTTCTGACGAAACCCATAGTCGGCCAGCGCCCCCGAGGCGCCGGGTCCGCCAAGAGTGGCCCCAGGGCGCGAGTCGGAGAAAGGATGGCAGGCAGAGAGCGCCCCATGTTTGGGGAATAGCTCGTCCCCTCCGACAATTCTGCCACTAGTGGGTCGAGTACCTCCTGTACAGGGGCTTCGCGATCCACTGCGATGGCTTCTACTCCTCGCCCCCATGATTTGCCGCGCGCGGATTCGATGGGCGCGTTGGCAAGGACATCGGGCTCTACATTTCCGGTCTTTCGGCAAAGCCGACGAGACTGCGAATTTCCACCGGCACTTGCAATTCCTCTTCTTGGAAGTGCCCAAGACCTACTTGGAGTCGGAGGCCGTCGGCCAGGTCGTCGCGCTGCAGGACTTCGCGTTTGGCGACGACCATCGCGAGGGTAGCCATCAGCTTCGCCAGCTAGGTTGGAACGCGCTCATTCGCCCTAGCAGGACCGCGGTCAAGGGCGGGCTGAGTTGCGGTTGTGGAACAGGGATAGCAGTCAGGAGTCACGTCGGGATGGGGCCCTTGCCGCTCGTCCGACCATTGCCCCAGCATCGCCGTATCTGTGGGGCATGGCTAGATATGTTCGTCACAGGTGGCATAGCGGTGTTCTCCCTCTACCTCGATTGTGACGATCTTTTGGGCCTCGACAGTTTCCAGATCCCTAATGGGCTCGGAGAGGCTCTTCACGGCTGTCATTTGCCCTTCGTGATAGGCGGGGACTTCTACCGCGTCGCCGAAGTCGTTCGCGGACGCGGGGTGGGTGGACAATATAGGGGGCGCCGTCGTCCTCGCGGCTGAGCCCGCGCGTCGTAAATCTAAGACTTCCTGGATCGGCATCGAGCATTTCATCGCATCGAAATCGCTCGGCCCCCTGTTCGGCGCCATCTCGCTTAACAAGAACGGCGCGACTTCCCCGCGCTGGCCCGCCACCCTAGACCTCTCGGGCGCCCCCGGAGAGCTCGAGGCGAGGCCCCTGGTTGGCCCCGAGGCGCCCCCTCGAGACGTGCCCCTGGGTCCGCGCCCATGCCCGCCAGATTGGTCTGCTTATCACGCCCAGCTCGAGGCGCGCGGTGACCGGGCAGCTCTGGGCCGGAACTGCGCTGGGCGTTGCAAGATTTCGAGGGCGAGATGATAGGCATACATGGCGTCGACAAGAGCGAGGACTCCGAGCACCCAAAATTAATGAAAACCAAGATCTACCCAGCTGCCCCAGTCACGGGCTGGGGTTATCCTGTCTCCTCTGGCAAGGGGCAAGGGCAGAGCTTTGTAGAAATGGCCCATACACATCCAGCAACTTAGCTATCTTGTCAGGGAGCAAGTGCCTTTGGACCGATCCGATGCTAGATGTGTTTTTTTCTTCGCGCCCTCCATGGGCCAGCTGCGCTTCATGCTGGCCCTGATTGGCAGGCCGCGGCCATGTCGGAGGACGACCTGGCGCGCCTCGATTTCGTCGGCCTCGTGCAACGCATAGCGCCTTGAGAAGCAGCTTCAGTCGGATCGAGGCAAGGCTTGGCGATCTCGGGGCAGCGCGAGTCTGGATAATGGGGCTGGATTGGCCCGCGAACTTCACCAAAGTTCCCTTGGGCTGGAGGGCCCCCCAAAGGGCCCATGGGGCGTGTCGACGACCTCATGGACTGACGCCCGGTCACCACAGCGTAGTTTCCAGGACGCCCCAGATCCCATTAGCTTCCTCTTCAGCAAGGTCTCCGAGTTCACAGAGGAGCCCATCGAGTTGGCCACGCCAGATCAGATCCGAAAGTGCCCCAGCAGTTTCAAGGTCAGGGCGGCGATAGGCGCGGACAGGACCCACTCCAGGGACTTCGGGGCCCTCAGCGGCGCAGCTCTGGAGTGCGTTGCAGCCTTCTGGTTATGGATGGAGTCTCTTGGGAGGCTTCCTGTGTTCCTGGCAACCATCATCCTGGCCATGGCTCCCAAGGGCAGTGATGGTTGGGTTCGACCGATCGGAGTTTTGTCGGGGAGCGTTCGGTGCGTCGGCAAGTATTCCAGGGCGCAGGCTGACAGCAGGGAGCCGGCCCGTGACAGGGCCCATCATTGCGGAAGCAAGGGGCGGCCCTGTGAGGGAGCGGCTTGGGAGCAGGGCGTCAGGATGGAGAGCGCATTTATGTTTGGTCACTCAGCTGCCTCAGTGCTGATCGATACGACCAATTACCACGAGAAGGTTGTCCATTTCTACTTAGCCCTGGCGGCCAATAAGCACGGCTTCCCGCTCTATCACCCGCGCTACTTCTTCTATTTGTACATGGGCCAGGGGGTCTTGCAGGTTGGCCTGGCCGCGTATGCTCCTAGTTTGTCTCTTGCCTGCAGGCGATCCTCGCAGGCTGCGCGTGCGCTACCGCGTGGCGAAGGTGCCCCCCTTCTCGGCCCTTAGACCAGGTCGTCTCGAGGTTTCCGTCGGTTCGGTTTTACAACGTCGTCGACGATATCACGAGCGGCGCGGCGGGGAAGGCTAGAGCGGCGGCGAGGACGGCCGCCGACGCGACGTATATGTTATGCGAAAAGCTCGAACGGATCGGCTTCTTGATCTCCCCCACAAAAGGTTAAATCACGGCCGGATCTCGGAACATCGGAGTTCGAGTGAGAGACGGGCTGACGCGATGGAAATTCCAAGTTGTAGAGACCACTCGGACCCTATGGCCTATGGGGGGACTACACGGCCGGCCGACGACGAACTCCAGTCCGAGCGATTCGACGGGACAGTTTGGAGCCCCGGGTTTGCCAGTTCAGGGGCTCGCGCGCAGGGTGCACTGGCATGTGCAAGGTGGTTCAGACCTAA